TAAAATTTAACTTTTTGATTATAATAAATTACAAAGTAATTATATAAACAACTTTATTAGAATATAAAAAGAAAGTACATTAAATAAAATTAAAGATGTTTTAAAAAAAAATAGACAAAAAAAAAATTTTTTTAAAATATTTTATTTCGTTTAATTTGATTAGTTAACCTGGATTTTATCAGGTCAGGTCATAAGCTTGACCCAACCTGATGTTGACCTGAAATTTGTTTACCTGACCTGATTTGAAGCTCTAGTAAAAATTAATTTTAATTAATCTTTGCTTCAAACTTTTACCTAATTACCTAATTCATCTAAATTTTTTTTTTGATATTTATTTAGCCATCAAAAACCAATTAAGAACTTTTAAAAAATACAATGATTGGGTTAAGAAAAGAAACAAAAAATTTGATTTTTAATAAAAACAAATATTTTTACTCAATTATTTAAAATTATTCTAAGGTAAATGAAAAATAATAAGGATTGGTAAAATTAAATTTTACAGATTCTGCAGTATATTATTTATTAAAAAAAATAATAATAATAAAAATAATGCTTTAATAGTGAGGCTAACATTTTATTAAATAAAATAATTAAATAACTCATTTTATTAGATACTAATTTGAATCTGAGTTGAGTCACTATCAAAATAAAAAAATATTTATGATTAAATATTCAAATATTATTAATAGATTAATAGATTTTGACAAAAATAACTAATTTATATTGGTTCAGATGTTAGATGATCCTTTTTTTGGTGATCAACTATTAATTTTCAAAATTGCAGGCAAATTTGCCTGCAAAACCATTAAGGGGATAATAATATTTATATTTTTATTGTTTTTTATGTTTTATAAAATAATAAATAGATTAGTAACAATCATTAAAAAACATAAAAATTTAATATATTAAAATCACCAATTTACAATAGTTATCTGTAACAAAAATATTTATATTTTAATTCTATTTATTTATAATATATTCTCAAATAATAAAAATTATATTTTTACAAATTTTCTAAAATTGATTTGCATGATAGTTCAACTATCCTTTTAAAAACGGATTGTTCAATACTTTTTGTTTAGCCGTTACTTTGAGGTTGAATAACCATCTCTACTCTGCTTATTAAATAAGAAATTGATAAAATTAAAAGATTCAAGTTTACAATTAATTAAGTGAATTTTTTATCATATTACAGTATCTAACATAAAAACAATAATGTCCTTTTTTAAATAACACCATCGTCCGTACCATTAACATTTACAGAATCCAATTTTCCCAAACATCCCATTAAAGCTTCTAATTCATTTCTAAAACCTTTGATTTCAGAATTTTTTTTATCGATTAATGCTCCCCATTTTACTTTCCATCTCTCAAGTTGTAATTCACCTTGACGTTTTGTCTCTACAATTATGTCCTGTAATTCTTTTTCTCGTTTCATGAAGCGCGCTTCGATATCGGAAATTTGTTTCGCAAGCGCATCAAGCTGTACTGTTGAAGCAGGAGCGACACCAGATGAAAATTGTGCCAACGGAGGTGTATATTGTGGTGGCGCATCATAAACCATATCAACATTTTTAATTATTGTTTGTTGACGAGCAATATTGGTTTGTCGCAATATTACGTTTTCCTCCTGAAGCTGTCGAATCAGTTGCTTTGCAATTTCACTCAAACCTTCAATTACTTTAGAATCAACTCCATCATTGTCAACAAGTTTTGTTATTTCACGTGCCTTTCCATTTACCAGTCCTTTTGTACCATGGGAGGCATTATTTCCTGGAAGGGAAGGTACAACAAGCGTAATCAACTCACGTTGACGTTCAACAACATTTTCTAGACCAACGCATCTTCCTTTCCAAATACTGATTTCTGCCTCTTTTTCCACCGTTAGTTTTCTTAATCCTGCCACATCTTCATCAGCAACAAAATTATTTTTAGTGGATTGTTGTAGAATTGTCAATGTATTCTCATGAACTGCTTGTCGAACAGCTTCAGACGTAGCCAGCTGAGCTTTTAACGTAATATTTTCGGTGGTAAGCGATTCAATTTGACTCCGAATCTTTTGAATTTCAGCTGTTGAAGCTGGCGTTAAATTTGAATTATTCAAAGTAATTGATACACTTTTCGAATCATTCGATAATGGTTTTGTCGTATCACTATCCGAAGTTGTTTCATTAATCTTTGTTCTTCGAGCATCTTTCCGTTCCATTTGTAATAACTCTCGCAAATGCTCAACTTGCGTTTTTAGTTGTTTGACGGTAGTATCGTATCCACTACCCCATTGAATTTTTTCTCGAGTAATAGATAATAGTTTAGATTCAGCGTCAGTAGCTCGTTGATGAGCAGCTTCAAGTTGCATGTCTCTTTCCTTAATAGTACGCTCAAGTTGAGCAATAAGTTTTTCGATGTCCAATATTCCTTGGTCGTCACCGAGATCTCCAAAAAGTCCCATAATATCATTAGTTATAGGTAAGGAAGAAAGATCACCAACTTCTTCATCAAAAGGTAAAGCATTACAGTTACCAAGACTTGGAGTATTCCCACTAGATCCAATAGCATCTCCTGTATTAACAGCTGCACCACCATTTACAGACGTTTGATTTGCGTTATTAATCTTCTCAACATAATTTTCACATTCTTCAGTTTTTTCAAGGTAGGCATTTTGATAATATTCTAATTGTTCTTCCTTTCTCTTTAATTTATCCACCAATTCTTCAATAATATTTTGTTTAGTGTCCAATTCCTTTAATAAATTTGGTGCAGCCATTACAGGTTGAGGAGGATTGTTAACGATGTTTGCGGCCACACTGTTTTCAGTTGAATCGGCAGGAAATTCCAATAAAAGTTCTTCCATTTCACGCATTTTTTGATCATATTTTTCTTTTTGTTCAGCATGATTTTTTTTCGATGTTTCAACTTCTTCTTCAAGCTTAACTTTGTTTTCTTTTAACAACTTCAATTCATCCTCTAATTTACCTACATACTCGTGTGAAGATTTCCTTTCTTCTTCCAATTTCATGAGTTTAACTTTCATTTCGGCAAATTCTTCGCTAGAAATATCAAGAAGATCATCTTCTTGCAAATCAAGAAGGTCATCCTTACCGCTCAAAGCGCTTATATTGGATAAAACCGAAGGTGTAGGACTGACTGTACGAGTAACGGTACTGGCACGCGACATTCCACCTAAAGAAGATTGTGAAGTAGTTCTTTTGAGAGTTTTCGTGGTAGGAGAACGTGGCGAACTCGTTTCTTTGTAATGTTTTGAAACGTCAGCTGTAGACTTGCGTCTTTTGGTAAGAAGTAAATTAGCCCTTCGTAAATCAGTACAAATCTGTGTGATTTCTGGATTTGAACCGTATTTGGTTTCAATTTTTTCAATAGCGTTCTGTAATTTACGGAAACGATTTTCACGTCCTTCCTTCGAAATTGCTTCCTTTTTAATGCCCTCTATCTGTGATTCATACGTATACTTCATCATGTTCATTTCTTCTGTCATTTTCTCTAATGACTCTGTTCTTTCTCGAGATATAGCAACAATTTCTTCACGCGCTAGTGACAGTTGATGTTCAACATCATCAATTTTAATCATATATTCACTTTCTCTATCTCTGATTTCGCTCAATTCTTTTTTCAATTCATTCATTTCTTTGAGAGCAAGTTCTTTAATTTCGTAAGTTTTTTCTTTCTCTTTTAATCGTTCAATCTCTTTCTTCATTTCCTCAATCTGTTTTACGGTTCCTTCTGGCACAGTTTCTTGAGTTTCTTTCTCATACAATAATTCCTTCAAACGCTCAACCTCACCATATAATTCCTGGACTTTATTATGTTGCTTATCTTGTTCTGCATCCGAGGCCCTCAATCGTTCATTCATACTTTTTATCTCACTAACTAACTTATCATTATCCTTCTGATAACCACTAATTAATACTTCTTGATCTTCTATTTCTCTTTCTATTCTTATTAAATCTTCATGAGTAAGCGCAAGAGGTTCTTCTTGTTGTTCAATAATTTCTTTTAAATCAGATTCATAGTTTAGGATTTTATTCCCGGCTTCCCATAATTCATTTTTAAGATATTCAACTTCAACTTCTTTGGAAGCAAGTGTATGTAATAATTCTTGATTTCTCTTTAATAAATGAGATTTTTCAGCAATCGCAACATTTGAATTTTGATATCTCTTTGACATCTCAATTAAAGTTTCTTCAAACTGAGCATTTATTTCATCAAGTTCACTTGATATCTCTACAGTCTTAACAGGAGACTTTGAGGAACGTTGATAATCACTTGCCTTATTTGAAGGGGAAGGTGCTTGAATAAGCCTCGCATTAGCACGACGTAATACTGTTCTTTTCTTAGTTAAACGAGGTGAAGCAGGAGATCTTACCATGTAACGTTGTTCTTTACGAGTAGAACGTCCTATAGAAGTATCAATAGTTATACCAGGACCTTCTTTTGCATCATTATGCTCATTAGAAGAATTAAAGGTCTTTTTATTACTATCATCTATACGTCCAGAGGAGTCTTCATTATTCAATTTTGAAGAATCATTTTCGATTATATCAGTAGTAGCTTGTGTTGTTGTAATGTTAATAGAAGTAACAGTATTTGAATCTGATTTGGTATCTTCCTTTTGTGAATCAGCAATAATGGACTCGCTTGTAGTAATTCCTATTAAACTTGCTAAACGAGTTGGTAATGATAAACGTGAATGTGAACGATTTGTTTGCGATATATCAGCATTTTTTGTAATATCTGTTTTTTGTTGTTGTCCTTTATTTCTATCAATCCATTCATCTGCCATGAAAGAACCTGAATCTTGCCTTGGATGTTGTATTAATGTTTTACAATTATGATCCAAATCCGATAAAGTATTATCATATTGACCAGTAGAATTACTAGAATTACTAGAAACAGCGATTGTTGTAGATGGTTTAGCATGTTTTCTTGACTCCCCAGATTCATACATTTTATTATTAGAGTTTGAACTATGATTCTTACGACTTTCCTCACGTGAAGATTTTGTTACATGATTACTGCTATCTATTGCACGAAAAGTCTTCAATTTAGCTTCCCTTAAAATTTCTTCGACCATAGAATGGGGAACATTCTTTTTACTGCTAGAACTATTTGAATTTCTTATTGATTCAATAAGTCTTTGAGTTTCTGGTGTTAAACCTTGAATTGGAATGTCACTTTTACCATTTTCTCTACCACTACCTTCAACATGAATAGAACTCTTTGATTTTTTACTTGAATCTTTTCTTGACGTAGTATTTTCGTTAGAGTTATGACCCTGTGAATCTTTTTTTTCAAAGCGATCTTTATCGCTCATTGTATTTTATACACTAAAGCAAATATTATTGTGAAAATTTAATGTCTTGGAATCAGGTAATCAAACGTGGTAAATACAACTTATAAAAAGAATCTAGAGTGTGCGTAAAAAAAGGGGTAATACCAACTTATTTTTCAAGACGAATGTTAAAATATGTTTTATCTAAAAAAACCATTATATCGTTTTAGGTATATTCGTGATTTAATGCAATGCAGACCCAAATTTGGACGCCCCAAAATTTATCAATGTGTACTTTAATTTCCATTGTGTAAATTTAACAAATTCATGCAAATTGATATAAAAAGTTAAGTTCGTTTTCCAAAACGCTAAAAAGATTTTGATCGATAACTAATTATAGCGAAAAGTCTTGTTTATTGATTATGACTTTATTCATTTAAAGAAAAATATTGATTTCATGATTTGGTTGATCATTAATAATAATAATCTTAATCAAATTTTTTTTGAAACCTTTTATCAACTTTATTATTAGGTAGAAATAAGTTTGTGCAGTCAGGTTTTTGAATTTTATTCAAATAAAATATAATAAAATAAATAGATTTTGTTACCAAACGAAAGGCCTGCTTCTTATTTACAATTAACCATCATGATTATAAAAATATTTTTAGATAATAACCTGTTGGCCATTTATTAATTCAAAGTTATGCAATCGATCTTACAAATTTCAGCACAATAATGCATCTATTCATACAGCTAATGATGTTAAAGCATGGGTTGCTGTAAAAAAATTAAAATGTTAATTATTTGGTCTACTCAATCTTCAGATTTGAATCCTATTAAGCATCGTTGGGACTGTTAGTTGTGTAACTATCTAGATCTTCCTAAAAATCGTGCAGATTTAGAAATACAACTAAAAGAAGAATGAAAAAATCCACTTAAAATTAATTGAGAAACATGTATTGCCAAAAAAATGAAATAAATTACATTTTTTAAAAACTGCGCAAACTTATTTCCACCTAGTATATATATTATATATAAAAAATTTAAATTATTTATAAGAAAAGAAATAAATAAGTAAATTTACTTGCAAATATAAGCGTTTTGAAAGTATGATACTCTAAAAAAAATTAAAATTTTACTTTATAAATTAAATATGATTTTTTTAGTAAAATAAGTTGAGATTTAATATTAACAAAAAAAAATTTTTTAGAGTATCATACCTTTCTATTACAAAGCTTTCATATTTACAATTTAAGAAATAAATTTTATTTTATTTTAATTATATTTTAATATAAATAATAAAAATAATATTATAATATTATATAGGATTTTTGTGATAAAAAGAAATAGTCACATTAAAAAATATATATGTTTTAACATAACTATTTATACTAAATTATAAATATGATAATATAAATTATGATATAATGATAATAATATAAATTATAATATAACATTATGAATATAGTATTCTTTCTGAATTATTTTGATTATTTATCTAAATTTCCTTAAAATTCTATAATTAGTTTTAGCAAAATATTAATATAGTTTTATTAAAGTTTTTTTTTAGTTTTAGCATTCACTATAATAGTTTTAATATTTCACATTTTAGTAAGTTTTGAATAAAAGTTTAATAAAGTTTTATTAAGTTTTAACATTTTAGTATTTTAATAAATAGATAAGTAGAAGCAACCTTAGTTCTTTTATTATTAAAAAATATTTGTATATTTATATTACTCTATACCTACAATTGAATAGATATCTATATGTTTATTATTTTTTATATTATTTTTAGTTTTAAAGGTTAATTAATCAATTATAAAACTACTTTTGCTTCTTTTTATTGTCAAGTTGTTAGCTGTTTGTTGATCTATTATTAAATTTTTTTATTATCAAAATGTAGCTTAACTGTTATATATTTGCATTCTTTTTATTGTTTTATTATATAATTATTTGAGATTTAACATTAGATTTTCATTAGTATATATAGGTTTATTTAAAAAAATATATTGAGATCTTTTCAATAATACTAAATTTATATGAATTAAATAGCTAAATAATGAAATATTATTACAAATAGTGGTATCTGATGAAACTGTTTTTCTTAATATGACAAAACTGATGAAACTGAAATGATGAAACTAGTTTTTTATAAATGACAAAACTATTTTACTTAATTGCTAAAATTATATTTAACTTTATTTAAATTTTTTGAATTAAAATACATTAAAAAATAACAATTTTATATTTATTCATATAAAAATATTAAAGAAACAAATTTTTTTTGATGAAACTACTTTTTTTTAAAAAAAAATTAGCCAGATATCACTAATCACAAATATTAGTTATAATTTTAGATTATAATTGTGATTAATATATGCTATATTTTTATTACATTCTTTATTTTTAGGATATTTTCAGTATAATTCATATCAAATATTATAGGATTTATAACTGAATTTGCAAATTATCTACTTATCAAACTTGTTTTGCAATTCCGTTTTTTAATATTTTTTAATTATCAAGTGAAATATAAAATAATAAATTTACAATTATCTATTTTCTTTTAATTGTCAGAAACATACTAAATTTATTATTTAGTATTTATAATCTCTAAGTTGAAATATAAAATATTAATTTTGTATTACTAATATTTAACCTTTCTTTGATTGCTAAGGATAAGATATATAATACTGAATTATTAATAGATACATAATATTTTTTCACTCTTTTCTACATATAATTCTACTTTATTAAATTACTAAAATATGTTATACAGTATAAAATTCTTAGAATTCTTCCTTATATATTATTAGTAGTATCTTAAACATGTATATAAAATGCTGATTTTGCAATTTTGTCATTTATCATTCTCTCAAATATTATATTAAAACATAAAGTGTTAAATTTGTAATCTCATTATTTATAACCTGATTACTGAAGATATAATATAAAGTGCTAATATCAAAGCAATGTTTTTTATTTCTTTTCTTTATATAATTTATTTTAATATTTTACTAAATTATATTTATTTGAGTCCTAAAGTTCTAGAATTTTTTTGTTTAATTTATATTTGAAATATTATTACTTTAAAGTATTATTAATATATTTTTTATACATATATATTTTTTTTAATAATTAAAAAATTAGAGAATTAGTATTTCAAAAAAGATATATTTATTTATATTGTATTTTAAACTAAATATTATTAATTTTTTCTTATTATTCATAATAAAATGATTTAGTATTTGCATTCAAATGCAATTCTCTTATAATATAAGAATATTCAAGACATTATAAATGATATAAAATGAGTATCAGAAATATATATTATTTTTAAAGAATAATAAAAAAATATAATGTTGTTGAAAGAAATAATAAATTATTTTTTCAGAATAATTATATTACTCCTTTGATATAATTATATTATTCTTTTTATATTATCTCTTTAGAATGATTTTATTATTCTTTTGTAATAATTAATATTGTTTTTTTGAGATAATTACTCTTATTTAATTGGAAAATTATTATAATATTCACAAAAATCAGCTTAATTTATTATAATTTTATACTGAATTTTGAGAATTTTGAGTCTAGCTAAAATTTTACTAAATATTATAATTGAAAGGTCTTAATATTATAATAATACTAAATTATGTATAATATAACAAATGATCATTGACTTTTGTAATTCAAGCTGAAATCTTGCTGATTTATATAACTGAATTGACTGAATGTTTATCAAAAAGTCTTGAAATAATTTCAACTAATGGTATTATATAATATTTTTATTTTATTTTATAATATATTGTAATAAACTAAAAAGTTATCTTATATATCATATGATTTTTACTTATCACAAAATCTATTCAATCAACTATAACTAACAAATCTGTCAGATTTAAGGTTGCTTATCTAAACTCATTTAGATTTGGCTAAACGTCTAAACCTTTAGTTTTACTAAATTTTTACTAAGCGTTTGATATAGTTTTACCTTTTTCTGAATTTCGCAGATTTTTTAATAAGGTTTTAATATAATTTAACCAAGTTTTACCTTTGCCATTTAGATATCTATCTAAACTCTAGATTTTGTCTAGCAACTTTAATCAGATTGACTAAATCTATTATATATGTAATATATGTCAAGTATATGATAAAAGACAATTGTTACATTTCTTATTTTTATTTATATTTTATTATTTATTATTTTATTTATTTATATTATCAAGTTTCTTATAAAAGAGTAGTTTTAGAACTTTATTAAAAAGAAAGAACATAATCATAATCTAGAGAAATTACTTTAGTTTTATCAATAACAAAATAATTACTAAATACACTTATATACACTTATACTAATTCTTTTATTTAATAAACTCTAATTTGTTTAACTCATAATTATACCTTATTACTAAAATATATTTAATTGATAAATCTTCAAAAGTCCTTTATAAATCTCATATTATAAGTCTTAAAGCTAAATCCTTTGTTAATTTTGCATTAATATTAATTTTCAGTCATTAGTATCATAAGATAACAATATTATTATTATAAATTTTATGAATACAACTTATTTATTATATATAAAATAAATACTAAGAAAAAGAAATAAATTTTAAAGTTTTGAATTAAATAATAAAGTTATATTATTTTATTTAAAAATAAATTTTTGAAAAAATTTCAATTTATTATCTTTTTAAACTAAATTAATTTTTATAACCACTAATATATATAAATAATTCTTATGAGTTACAACTATTAGATAAGATGTTAGAATATTAATTCTTTTTAATTGAATAGTAATATTTAACATTTGTAAGTTTTACTTAGTATTAGTTTTTAAAAAGATGTGAATATAAGTATTTAAGATGTGATTTAGAAAAATAACCTTCAGAGACTTATTATCTATTAAACTTCAGAAGATCATTTTTTTAGGTCACGTTCTACTTAACAAAATAATAATACAATCAACTCTTTCTATAGCAAATTTTGATATAATGAATTTCATGATATAGCAGATCTACAGTGTAATACAGATTTTTACATATAGAAAACTTTTTTTAATGACATAGATCACGTCATAACTTTAATAGATATAATTATAAACAAAAAATTACTATAAAAAGTATAACAATTGTCTCATAACTATATTAAAAGTCTATTTATAATTATTTTTGTCATAGTGAGCTTTCGTGAGAGTTACAAGATAAATATTCATCAAGTCACAAACTATTAACAACTCAACCTATTCAAAGAGCAAAAAAATAATAATATATATAATATAAAGAAATAAAGAAAAAGAAAAAGGAAATAAAAAGAAACATACAAATAAGAAGAAACTACTTAGATTATGATAACGAAATTGAATATTGTTGGTTGTTTCAGTTAAAAAGAATTATGTAGATGCCCTTTCATATCCTCCCAAAATGGTCACGCTAGAAAGAAATAAAAATAAGATTAATACAGACCTCCTTCCTATCAAAAGACTCACACTTTTTGTGACTATAGAAGGTACGCAGAATCCTTTTACTAGTTGGTAAGACTTGAAAGAAAATTCAAACTAACTTGTTCATTTTGGTGAAACTTTAAAACCAAAGAAATGTTTTCAATAGTAGATGTTATTAATGTATCGATTACAACATACATACTGGTTAAAAAAACTAATACAGTAAGTACTTCTAACAAAGAAAAATAAAAATAAAAGATATTGAAAAGATGAAAAGTAAAAAATTTGAAAAATACTTTCATAAAAACTAATAACAATACTTTTATGTATTAACATAAAGGGAAATATTAAAGAGGTGAACATATTTAATTAATAGGGTAACTAAAGTTGTTCACAGACTAACCTGCAGGCATTCTTAATCAGGAATATTTTTCAACAAAAATTCTTGGGTATGATTAACAAGAGAGGAATCTTTATAGAAAAACTTTTTTATTTAACGATGTGGCACTGCTAGTAACTTTATTATTTATAAAAAGAAATACAAAAGTACAACTTAAAAAGAAAAAAAGAAAAAGTGCTAGCTATCCCTTATGATTATATTGCAAACCCGTTTAAATCGACCTATTATTATCTTTTCCCTTCAATAGACCCACTAAATATATATCTAATGATTACTATTATTAGGGATGGTAATAGTCAGTCATAGTCATTTAATAATCATCAACAATCAGTCAAAAACCTTTGACTGACCAACCAGTTGACTGTCCATTTAGAAAAAAATAAAATAATTTAATAATTTATATAATATATTTTTTTAAAAAATTATTATTATTACACAATAAAGAAAAAAGTTTTTAATTTTAATCTTTGTTAATCATCTTGTTTGACTTATCGGAATCATATTTTACATAGTGTTTGCTATTAATGAAGTTGTATAACCGAAAATTTTAGTCTTTGCATGCAAAAACTAGTTTTTTATTATTATTATAAAAATTAAGAAAAAAAATATATAAAGGAATGAAATTTAAGGACTGGTTATCTCTCTCTTTCGTTACTACAAAAAGAGGTAAATAAATTTTTTTTTTTTTAAATTTAAAGAAAAATAAATACTTGCTTTCTTTCGATTTCAGGATTCCAAAAGGTTTTATTTAGCATCTACTAGGGTTCCTCAAAATCGAATCGAATCAAATATTTAAGCAATTTGAATTTGATTTGATTTTTTCAAATTGAATCAAATTGAATATAAAAAATTTTTTTAATTTTTACAATGATATATTAAAATAAAGTTATTATAAAGGTTTAATTAAGAAAATTATTATATATCTATAATAATTAGATAAATTAAGTTAAACATAAATAATTTAAATTTAAATAATTTTACTCATTATATAAGTCATTGTCAAATTGAATTCTATTTTCTGTATTTATTTCCATAAGTTTTTTTTGTGCATTAAATTCTGATGTTGAAAGTGGTATCTAATTATATTAAAAATTAATATTAATTTTTTTTAAATAAAAATTAAAAATAATTTTATATACCTGTAAAAGATAAACGCAAACTTGTATTGCGATGATATTATTCTCTTTAATTGATCAATGATAGTATAAATATTATCATGTGATGTAACATAAGTCTGAGACAATGGTAATGTAGAACTAATAATACAGCCAAGTAAGATTGAATATCCAAGTCATTCTTTCAGTTTGGTATTATCTGACATTGCGATAACTGGTCCATTATATTTAAATAAATCCATTAATCTTTTAACCTGAACAATATTCTCAAAACATAAACTTGTATTATGAAAAGATTCTTCAGATTTCTGACGAAGTAATCTAATATTGAAAATTTATTACATTCAAAATATTTTAAATAGTAATTAAATATTATTTACTTATCTAACATTTTGAATAATTCGTTCAACTAAATTTTATTGAAAAGCATTATAAGCTCAAGTATTTAATGATAATAAAACTGCTATAAAATCTGAATATTTTTCAGAATATGTTAGATTTTGAAGTCCTTTCCTGCTTCTTGACGTTCAGCAACTTTAACCATAACTTCACACAATCCTTCAAATATAGCTTTCTTTTTAAATGCTTCACGTTTTTCCAATTCTCCTAATTTAAACCAAAAAGATTCTTAACATTCTGAATTTTGAGTCCCAAGTATTTCCATTAATGTGAAAATATCTTTGTTAAAAAGAAATTTTGAAATTGGATTTTCATTTAGTATTATCTTTGGAATATGCTTTATATTAGATGGTTTGATGGGTTTTTTGTTTAAAGCATTCTAAAATTTAAAAGATTAGATAAATAAGAAATAGTTATATTAATATTATCATTATCACTTACCCGAAATACTTGATCATTATTAATATTGACACATTCAATACATATTTCCAAAATATTTGATGTATAAAGTTCACATTTAGTACTACGAACTGTTTCTCCCTCAATATGCCACTTTGACTTTCGTATTACTTCTTTATAAAGTAAATCAAGTTCTGATTGATTGAATTTTCTATAATCAACTTTTTCTAGAAATTTTTCAGGAAACAACTGCTTTGCTAATAAATGACGTGAAAGATAAACACCATGTGTAATAATAAGCTGAACATGTTAAGTATATGTGTGGTAGATTTGTTCATATAAACCAATACATGCAAAACGCTCTTCGGATAACATATAGGTTTAGCAAAATGAAAAAATGGGTGATTTCTTAATTTTGTGAAATCCATTTACAATCACCATTTTTTATGTCTTTTTACGTAATTATCATTATATGGATATCCGAGTTTTACATTTTGACCACATTTGCAAAATGCCGTTAAGCCATCATCAGAAACTGAAATTATATTAGGGTATTCTAAAAGTCGCTCTTTTGTATGCTTAACCATCTTTTATATCAAAAAAAAAATGTTACAAATAAATTTTTTGCTAAAAAATAAAAGGTTAGTATTATGTTTTAAAAAGTAAAAAAATGTATTCTATAAAAAGTTTGTGATAATATATATAAGGTAAATTCGAAAACCAATTCTGCTACCAAAATTTCAAATCCCTCATGTCTCAAATATCAAATACGAGTTTAAAGATCATCAAATATAAGTTTCAAAGCTCATACACCTTTTTTAAATATAACATTTTTTTTAAAAAGGGAATTTGATATCAAAAAATAAATACAAGTTCTTACAATATTGTTCAGGGTTCTGCTGTATACTTTGTTGACATTAAAGACGCCTGTAGCATGTTCAATCCACATAGTAACGGTTTTGACCCCAAAAAATTTCATGTGATCATTTTTCTTGGCAATTTTCTGAGACCGCGGGTCCTGGAAATTTAGTGACACCATAACCTATCAATTTTTGCTGACCAATGGTCATGATATCACTCGATTTTTAGACCGTTGGAAATCATATAAAAAGAAGATGAGAATCATTTTATCTGCCTTGCGCAAATCATAAACAAATGATCAAGCGAAACATTCAATCTTACATTTATTTTCATCAATATCAGCAATCAATCAAACGAGTATATTCTGAAAATTATTAACAAGGTATGATGACTTATTTCTCAGTTTGATTCTAGAAAATCGTCATCACAATGCTAATTATTTTTTTTCCAGCTCTATAGATGCTCAAAGATAAAGTAGACATATTACTTTTCTTGATCCTTTTCGAATACTTGATATTCGCCGAGAAAATCGTGATCGCTGACATGTGTCTAATCAGCGCAGTAAATTTTCTGTGGCTTTGCAAATTTCACCTGATTCTCGTCACATGCCGAGATAGTGTGTCGAATAAATTTTCCGGCAACTAAATAAGCCGAATTTTTAATTGTTGACGCAATATCAAACTGACGATAAAAAAATCAAAACACCTTTATTATAACGCATTAAGTAACAAATTTCTTGAATATGAGGCGGAATGGATTGAAGTATAACGGTAAGTGTGAATCGGAAGCCTCAACTTGTTTATTTCTTTTAAATGTTGCTAATTTCAGAATTCTTCATACAGGTTCGAAATTATTTCATCTCGGAGAAGTTCTCTTGCAAGAAATAATCTATTACGTAGTCTATGGGTGGGAGTGATATAGATAGACAAAAATTCTGTAAATATTGGTTAGATAATTTACTTCGAAAATCTAGTGTTGAAAAAGAGTGTGGGGTTGAGAATTATGTAGTTAGCAATATAAACAAATTAGCTATAAATATTTTTCAAAAATGTGGCATCACTTTTAATTAAATCTGTAAAAAGTAATAAAGCTTCGCTTGCATGTTTTTTTAATTATATACTTATCTTCTGATAGATGTGGGCATTGATTAATTTTTTAACAAAGATCCAAGAAAATTTAGTACAATATTGATGCAACCACGTTAAGCATATGTGGATGACTACCTGGAGGAGAGATATAAAGCATTAGGGGTCGTAATGAATGCCCCAGTCCATCTTTAAAAGGACCTGTTGCCGAAGCAAAGACCATACACAGTACAGGGTCTGCCTCCCCGGTGTTTAGTGCGCGCTCATATGATAAATTTTTTAATAGTATATTGATGCAACTACGGTAATATATGTGGATGACTACCGGGAGGAGAAATATAAAGCATTAGGGATCGTAATGAACGCCCCAGTCCATCCTTAAAAGGACCTGTTGCCGAAGCAAAGACCATACACAATACAGGATCTGCCTCCCCAGTCTTAGTGAACGCGAGAAACTGTGAAGAAAACCCTAGCGGGTGAGTATTGGACTATTGGTCAGAATCTTGGTGTAACTAGCGTTAAAAATTCTGATTACCTCATTGACACGTTCAATAAAAGTTACTATTATACATGTATGCGTCAACGTGTTCTCAGTTGTGCTCTATTCCTCATAAAGCCCACGAGTTTTTTCACATAAATCCCTGCTCTAAGTGGCATTTGTGGCAATTTTGGTACTTCTCCAATAGGCAGAATTCTTGTTCCCAATTTACCAGCTCTCTAAGTCACATCATGGAAGAGTGCGAAGACCCTTTGATTGTCAACGTTGCATGGAATAAGCTTGAAAATGTACGAAGTGGAAGTGATGCGAATTTTGACGAGTGTTTTAAAGAATCAGTACGTATTTTAACTGAAGTATACCTAATACTTCACTGAAATCTGTTTTCTTTTTCACATTAGATTAGTAAAGAATCCCAACGAAAGCGCAAAGAGAAAGCTATCTCAAGGTCTCTGGAAAACTGGTTGAAGCGTCAAAGACGCAAACGAAAAGTTCATTTTGAGTCTTACCTCACATCTCAATTAGAGGTCACTGGTAGTGAAAAATTGTCTCTAAACCAAACACATCTACAGTTTATCAAGCAAAATGTTAGTAAAGTTCAATCAATGATTTTTGTTATCGATTGTAAACACTCTAACATTATTCTACATGTAAAAAGGGTCCAAGTGTTGCTAATGATTGTGTAAGTAAGGAACAAGATCTATCTAATGAATCAGATGATGATACATATACTGATTCAAGTCATGAAAATGATGATGAATATACACCTCCATTTCCAACACTGCGAAATTTTTCTGAAAATTCATTTATCGAAAATGAAAAGATTGTTATCACTTGTTCCTTTGAGTTTATTACAATCAAGAAGTGTAGAATCAGATTTGTTTGTAAATAATGTTAACATATCAGCAAAATTTAGAGCATATGTTAATGGAGCCATTTCATATGCTAATACTAATGGGCTATACGTTGAATCAAATACACACGAGATCCTATCACTATCATCAATACTTGTTTTCATACTAAACTCTTAACAAAAATGGTGGAAGTATTTGGTTTGCAAGTACTTGCATCAATTCACCACGAATATACGCCAACATTATCTATATCATTGGATACAGAAATTGAGTGCATATATAGGAATGTTGTTAAAACATGCTTAAAAGATTCGCGTAGCAGTGCAATTGATATTTTATGTACAAATCTTACAAATAGAAAGGAACTGAGAAATAATTTCGGGTTTTTGATGTTGGATTTGATAAGAACTTTACCATTTGACAAAATCAGGAATGAACTGAGCGAATTAACATTAATTACCAACTATTTAGACAGAATTATGAAAGACGCGTTTTACGACCCAGACAAATATATAGCTCAGTGGCTAAATACGGCCCTAACAGAAAGTAAAATAAGAAAACTTGATAGTTCAAGAACGAAACAGCCAGATTTCATAGTAACGATGAAATATCAGTCTTAGGCAACTAATGTGATTTATGTCGGTGAAGTATCTGTACCATCCGAGAAAAACAACGTGTATAAAAACTGTGTTGATCTAATGAGAATAGGTGTATTTATGAAGGATTGCATCGACTCAGCAATTTCACGAGGAGCCGAGATAAAAATATTAGGATTTCAATGCATCGCATACAAAATAGATTTCTATATTCTTGATCTAAGAAGTGAGGGATTATATACAATGAGTCATATTGCTCAGATTTCGATACCCGAGAAAATCAAGGATCTATTTATATTTATAGATGAATTACACGTTCTATTAAATACATGAAATATTTTGTTGGGGTCTTATGATGTCTTTATTGATAACCTTAAGAATCCAGGCCTAGCTCCATTAGAATTAAAATCGTCATTCAAAAGAAATACTTTGGATACTCCTGAATTTAATAGGATTGTTAGTAAAACTCGTTGTATTAAAAGGGAATGTCCATTTTGGTTTGGAAGATATTAGCTCATTATTTTTCTCGGTAGTTAAATAGTATTAAAATAATGTCAACAATTTCCTTGTGTATTAGTTACATCAATGATATATATGAATAAAGTTTCATTTTTTCTGTGATCAACAATTGATCTTAGTTTTATTATAACGATGTCCATATATTTTATATAAACCTTGCAGTACTATTTAGGTCTGTGCGATGCAATTACTCGATATTTTCTATCTGAACCATAATACAAAATAAAGGAGCTGACATAACGAGTGTTGACGAGGAAATTACGGAAGAGAACATTAGGTATATTGGTTGTGATGCATTTGCAATGGAACTTGCAAACTAATTACTAATTTATTAGCTTCATGGTAGACAAGTAACAGCTTAGAGTAAACCTGTGTATCACAGTTACGAGTAATTTATTTTTTATGTTATATAGGCAAGAATTAATAAAGTATTTGTTTGATCGTCCATTAATTTGTGTATGCATCAAAGATTCGACTTTTTGTGTAATTTTGGATGAATAAATTTATAGTCAAAAAATAATGAATTGCACAAATGAAATTAAAGTTTCAATGAGATCCAGTTCTCGAAGTTACTCAGGAATAACTATATATGGGTCTTCGTAATACCAAACATACCTTAGGTCAGTGATGTGCATTTTATGCTTCCAATGGTAAAAAATTTGATTGGAAGCTTCCAATCCAAATAATTTTATTAATAAATTGTGCTTCCAAACCTTCTAAAGGTACTTCCAAAGGTGCTTCCAATCTTCCAAGTGCACATCACTGCTTTAGGTCAATCAAATTCTCTTTGCATAATTCTTTCTTGAGTTGATCCCGTGCTTGTTGTTTGATAAAATTATTGGGATCGCCTCTATGAAAGAACTTGTTAAATTTTTCATGTTGCTCCCTTGGACTTCAATGGCAAAATCATAATCATAATATGGAATATCAAGCTCTAATCCTTGATAATATTTGGGTGTTTTTAAGAAATCAGGTTGGCGTATTTCAGATGGTGGTCCAAGATATTTTGATACTATTTCTCGACATAGTTTTTCTCTTTTATATTTGAGCAGAATGGATACCACGAGTTGGAATGTTTAACACTGCTAAATGATATAGTCCATAAATGTCCTTCAGCACATTTTCACAATAAAGCTGAATGACTATTAGTAAAATATTTAGAAAGACATACTCCATTTCTATTACATGCCAACTGCTTTGCATTTTCGATAGTAAGAGGTCTATTACCTGCGCAATGTGAGCACCATCTCATATGATTTTTTATATTATTAAGAGTTGCAGTCTATTCATGACTGTTTGCACATTTCCATCGCATTGGAATACTAGCATTAATATATTCAGTAGAAACACCAAAAGCATTATCTAATGTCAACATTTTTATTAATTTTTCAATAAAAAAATTAAGACTTTAATTACTAGATAGTGAAGTTCAAACTAACTGGCCAGAGGCACTAAAGCATGATCATGAAGAAGAGGATAATTTTCAGGTTATGAATGAGCTTAAAGTATTATCCCAGCATCTGCTCGAATCATCAAGTTATGAATGAGCTTAAAGTCTTATCTCAACATCTGCTTAACTATAATAGAAAGACTTTTGGAAAAAAAATACACGATATAGATAATGATTAAAGAGAAAGGGTTAATGCAAATAAGAAATTACACTACAAAATCAAGGATCTGAAGATTCAGATACAGGAGGTAGAAAAAGAAGTAAGGCAAAAATGGGAGTTCTAGGACAAAATTTTCAAATAATGCACAGAAAGATCTCTGATCGTTTGCAAATCAATTCTAACTATATGAATCAATTATTGAATTCAAGTCTCTAGCGTAAAGCTCCAAATCAGGTCAGGTCAACCTGTGATCCGACCTGACCCAATCTGAAAAATCCAGGTCAGGTAGACAAATTTTCAGGTCAACATCAGGTTAGGTCAACCAATCAAATTAAACGAAATAAAATATTTAAAAAAAATTTTTTTGTCTATTTTTTTTTTAAAACATCTTTAATTTTATTTAATATACTTTCTTTTTATATTCTAATAA